GGTTGCGCACGCCTTTAATCCCAGCACTTGGGATGCAGAGGCAGGCAGATCTCTGTGAGTTCAACGCCAGCCTTGGCTACCAAGTGAGTTCTAGGAAAGGCGCAAAGCTACACAGAGAAACCCTGTTTCCCAAAAAAAAAAAAAAAAAAGAAAGAAAGAAAGAATCACCAAAATGATAACTAGCATTATATCAATTCCAGCTAAGTTGATTATTCCTTCATTTAATTATTCCATTTTCACACCATCCATTGTGGAACTATTCAGAGACCTAACTCCATGCATTGTAATATTTCTCATTTTTAACATGGGAAAAAAACTTTTGTTTTAAAACTAATTTCCCATTTTAAGAATTCCCAGTTGATGTAATGCCTGGGGGGTGCTCACCAACCTGAGACAGAGTGCCTGTGTGGCCTGGGCAGGCGTCTCCATGACGGGTAAGGTGACCTGCTGACATCCCATGCAACCTAAGTCAGAAGCTCATTTTTTAGTAAAAGGGGGACCTTAGGGCCCTGGTCCCCGTTTGGGGTAACTGTTGCTTTGCTTGCTGACCTTGACCTTGATATCCTCCCTATGCTAATTCTCTACCAGTTTCCACTCTCCTGAATGCTTAAGGGAAGTTCCTTGTCTATGTATCCTGCATAATGGGCATTAACAGCTTAGATGCAAGATTGTAAAACATCTGTAGTGAATTTCTGCCCTCCGGGGTTCTCCCATTGTGCTGTAAGCCTGTATTTAAGACCTCTTCCCTCCTTCAATAAATAGCATTCAGCATTAAAAAAAAAGAAATTATTAAATAACATGAAAGAGAACTCCACATGAATAGGATGTGATATGTTGGATTTCTTTCTTCTCTATACTTTCTCCCAGCTACCTATGTCTATTAGATTTAATCAAAGAATGTTTTCCCTTCATTTTTTTTCACTATTCCTTGTATAAAACAGGAAACAAAGAATTTGGAAGTGAATAGCACAATCTTGAAATGATTGTGATTTTATTTAATTTTCATTGTGGTGGATTCATTAAATATGGGTTATTGGGACAAAAAAAAAAAAGAATTCCCAGTTGTCTCACCAAATCTGCTGACGATGACAGTGAAGTGTGAGGCTGGCTGTCTTGGACAGAGAACACAGAGGGTGCACAGCCTGGCTGAGGGCAGCTGCAGTTGCTTGTGTGTAGCTGTGAGCTGAGAGTGTGTGGAAGTTGCAACAACAATAGAAATTCAAGCAAGTGTCGAGGCAGCTAATCAAGTGGCAGCACAACCTGAGGAGGGGGTTCGGAGGAAGCCCATAAATCATGGGGAAAAGGAGCCAAGGAGCCATCCATCTAAAGAGCAGATGGGGGAAGGGGAGCCTCCAGCAGCAACTGTGGAGGCTGTGTTGCCTGCAAAGCCAAGGTAGAGTGGCTATCTCATACTATTATGCCCCATGTTGAGCGCCAGAAGATGCATTCATCTAATTATTCCTTATCAATAAAAAAAATCAGGAGTCAGATATTAGGGTAAGAATCTGAAAGATCAGAGAAGCAGGAGAACAGCCACCAGTGACTTCCTACCTCTTCCATTCCTTCCTCCAAAGGGGCCGAGATCCTCCCTAAGCCCCACCTTACTACTTTCTCAGTCTTCCAAAACCTCAATGGTTAATTTTGTTCAGCTAGTGACTAGCTCTGTCCTCTGATTCAAAACAAACTTTATTGTCACAATGCAATCAAAATATCACACAACAAAAGTGCTAGTCTTGCTGGGTGGTGGTGGAGCACACCTTTAATCCCAGCACTCAAGAGGTAGGAGGCAGGTGGAGCTCTCTGAGTTTGAGGCCAGCCTGGTCTACAGAGTGAGATCCAGGACAGGCACCAAAACTACACAGAGAAACTCTGCTAAAAAAAAAAAAGTGCTAGTCAAGAGTGAGGGACGGCGGGTTGGGGATTTAGCTCAGCAGTAGAGCGCTTGCCTAGCAAGTACAAGGCCCTGGGTTCAGTCCTAAGCTCCAGTTTTAAAAAAAAAAGAGTGAGGGACAGAATCCATGTAGAAGTTGACCTGGCATGGAAGCCACCTGTTATCCTAACACTTGAGAGACAGAAACACAGGATCCTGGGACCAAGCTGGTCTACTAGGTCTACTAGACTAGCCAGAATCACCGAGGTCTAGGTTTGGTGTGAGACTCTGCCTCAATATATTAGGTGGAGAGCAATCCAGGATGACACCCAATGTCAACCTGTGTCCTTCACACACATGTTCCCCTGTGGTGAATAGAAATGGCTCCCATAGGCTTATAGATTTGAATGCTTGGTCACCAGGGATTGGCACAATTTTAAAGGATTTGAAGGTGTGTCCTTGTTGAAGGAAGTATGTCACTGGGGGTAGGTTTTGAGGTTTAAAGGGCCCAAGCCAAGCCCAGAGTCTATCTTTCTGCTGCCAGTGGATCCAGATGTAGGACTCTCAGCTCCTTCTCCAGCACCATGTCTGCCTGTGTGCCGCCATGCTTCCCACCATGACAATAATGGATTAAACCTCTGAGGGCTGTAAGCAAGCCCCAATTAAATGCTTTCCTTTATAAGAGTTGCTGTGCTCATAGTGTCCCTTCACAGCAACAGACAGTGACTGTGGCAGTTTGAATGTAAGTGGCCAGCATAATTTCATAGGGAGTGGCTCTATTATTAGGTATGACTTTGTTGGAGTAGATATGGCTGCTATTGGTTGTTTTTGCTCTCTATGGGGGCCTGCCACCCAGATCCCAAATAAATCACACATGGAGGCTTATTCTTAGTTATAAATGCCTGGCTTTACCTTGGTTTGTTTCTTGCCAGCTTTTCTTTTTATTTGACAGGGTTTCTCTGTAGCTTTGCACCTTTCCTGGAACTCACTCTGTAGCCCAGGCTGGCCTCGAACTCACAGAGATCCGCCTG